CTGTATTTATATCATGGACATGATTTATAAAATTTATAAGGTCCTCCTTCATGCTATTACTCCTTCATCAAATGATTTAGTATTCATTTATCAACTCATATTCAAGACAATTTCATAACTTTTTTAAAAACATTAAATTTTTAGGCTACAATAAAGCCAAACCATACCTGCTTCTTTCTGGATTGTAATTTTTTTGACTGATGTGCCCCCCCCCCCACCCCCTTGAAAAAAAATCCTGGATCCCTGCCTGTTATGTCCACTTTTCAGAAAAATATGTTGTCTACTGATGGCATAAACTTGGCATAGACACATTTTCATCTTGAATTTTTATAGACCTGAATAAGTGACAAATCAACAAAAATATCTGAAAGTTAACAGAGAGACATATATAACTTGTTATTTATGTCTCTGGTTAACATAATTAATATCTGACAAGTGGGGGGACAGAACTATGCCAACATACAAACTTTTAATATTCAAGCTATTGCCAATTAACTAACATGCATTAGACACATTAGCTACAATTATCTACTGTAATTTAAGTGCGAGATGAAAATTTAACAGGTCTGGTACAATCACTAAGATTTAGCTACGTAGCTTGAATTACCTACATAGCTTTATTTACCTACCTGAAGTAGCTTTATATAGCTACTAAATCAAACTTATTTCTTGAATTAACATATTTCCCAGAAGGTGCAGAAAATTGCACTTTGATGTGATAATTAATTTTCAACTTTAAACTCATCTGAACATGCTGAAAACAATTCATGAAAAAATCACTCTGGGAGATGTGTCTTTTTCTGCGCAATTGCAATCAAAGTTCTAAAAGTTTTGGGGCTATATAAAACAGTTAATTTGTGACCTAACAGTTATTTCTTGAGTGAAATAACAAAGAAAACCAGTTCTGGTTAACATGAGCACAATGTGAAGTAATCATACTTATCCACGCCTCATCGCACACAAGGTGGTGTACAGTTACTCAAACAATGGAAATGCATCTTTTCCTTAAAAGTGCTCAAACACAGCAATGTTAAAACTATCTCGATCACCTTCAATCGATTGTTTCCTACTTTAGTTTCACTAAGTTTGCTGGATTTTAGTTCTGCCGCCATTTAAAATACCGAACCCGATCGAATTTTGCTCCTCTACATGTGAAAAACAGGTGTAATGCACACATGCTCCAATTATGATAGGTTTAAAGTATAAGTGTGCATGTTGTATGCATGATACAGTATAGCATTTAACGCGTTTTTCACTTACCATGTGTACATGTCACATTTGTGACGGTGTCATAAATCAATTCAATTCAATTCAATTAGTCATTATTCAATTCAATTCAAGTCATATGTATGAATAATTAACACATTTCTATCATTTATTGGATCCCATTCCACAATTTATGGAATCAATCAAAGAAATAAAGAAACAATCGGCCCTATAAGAAATAAAACATAATGAGAATACTGCATCAAACAATATATTAAATTATATGCAGTATCATGGATCGACACGGGTTTTAACTCTTACAAATTACAGAATTACATGTACCAATTAAGCCTTGTTCAGATAGGAATTTCCTTAAATTATGAATAATATTGATAAAAGTATATTACAAACGCATAAACAAGTAATAATAAAATAAAAATTATTTACATGGAAAATAGTACATATAAAAACATTGATGTGATGCCAATCCTTTGTTCTTGCAATCTAAAAATGTACATTTACCTTCGGCAGTCCTATATAATACTGAGTTCTAAGATATTAAGTGTAATATCAGACGGTCTCATCACTGGTTGAAAACCTAAAAACTGGATTGTTACTGAACAAAAGATATTTAGCAAACAGCAAACTTATATCTATAGGTGCAATGATTATATCAAAATAAATTGTTAAGTGTTGATGAAACAGAATTAAAAAAATGAAAAATTAAACTACTAATTAAACTGAATATATAGAGCTCTGTTACAAGAAGGGGAAAATGTGACTGACCAGTCTAGGATACAAACACGAGCCCCCCCCCCCCCGAACTTGTTACAAACTTCTTTAACTTTAGCAATGTTTTAATTTAGTGTAGAAACTTACCTGAGAAATCACCTTACCTGAGATGACTGGTAAATTTGTCATGATTTTAATTATTAAAAAAAGAGTTTTACTTTCGGGTATATTACAGAATTATCCATTACACATGCATTTTTTTTTATAAAATTATTCTCAATGTCTGTATCAGGCCCATGTGCATAGGAAGCAATTTCAGTTTGGGGGGCACAGCCATATATTTTTCAGTTGACAGTTGAGGGGGCACTACCAAAAACTTCCTGACGAGCAAAAAAAAAAAAAAAAACAAAACAAAACAAAACAAAACAAAAAAAAAAAAAAAATAAAAAAAGGTCATCAGACGTTTTTATTGATTTTATTGAGGGGGCACAAGCATATAGTATCTACGAGGGTTGATCAAAAAGTTCGCGAACTATCTCTATATTTACAAAACCACAATTCAGATCAGAATGAAGTTTGGCACACATATAGTCATACACATATTCTATAAATAACATATGTTAAATAATGTTTTGCTCCGTGTTTGTGACGTCACAATGTGAAAATGACGTCAATATGTAGGTCACTTGTGACAAAAAATGGTTGACTCAGTCGTACTCGAGCAACGAACGGCTGTAAAGTTTTACGTATATCTTGGAAATTCCTTTGCAGTAGAATATGATAATTGGTATAAGGTTTATGAAGACAAAAGACTTACCAGAAGTTCAAACATTAATTGGATTGATTGTTTAAGTAAAGACAGGGAGACGGTTAAAAATGATGTTTGTTCTGTTGCCAAGCGAGAGCAAGCCGGGGAAAAGATGTGTCCTTAGTTGAGCAATTTGTTTTGAAACATCATCAAGTAACAATTAGAAAAATTGTTGTATATCTTAACAATGATATAATTATTAAATCTCTAAAATATCGTTTACTTTAGACTTTAAACATATGAGATATGATAAAAAGAAGGCGCCCATACTTTATCCACGTTGGAAAAACGACTCTCCCGAGACAGAGGACTCGGGTTGTGATGGGTCACAATACTAATTGTGGGAAGGGATATCCTTATCCACCCATCCTATTGCCGAGATTTGGCCATTTCTGACAGATGGACTGTTTTTAAAATAACTTGCATGGTAAGAAATATAAGAGTCGGAAAAATCTTTTAGCTTCTCTGAACAGACTGCTTCGGAGCATGTCACATGACTGCCTGGATCACGTGATTCGCGCATGGGCAGAGCAATGGCAGATGTGCATTAAAATCGGAGAGGACTACTTTAAAAAATAATAATCACCGAAACTTCATTTTATTTCTTTTAAAGAAGTAATTCAATTAGTTCGCGAACTTTTTGATCACCCCTCGTATATATATTTACTATAGTAATCTATATATAGATTACTATAGTATATCGGCAAAATTATTGGGGGCCACCCCCCCCCCCCCCGGTTCCTACGGCCATATGTATAAATTAGAAATTAAATATACCTTCCTTCTTTTATTTTCTGAGTTTGTTCTGTTCAAATCAAAGTGCATATTAAGCTCTCTAGATTGTGACATACTTGGTTGCATTGCTTTCTGCTCTCTGCATGAAATTTCCTCCCCACTCTTCAGATCACTTCAAATACCTTCAATTGTGTAGCTGATTCAAAAATACTGGGTAGATTTCATTCAAGCCTGCATTCTTGAAAGAATTGCTTCAATGATCATAATTAACACTTTTGTCTTTTGTTAAAATATACTACTGTGTCAGGTAAATCAACAAATGAAAATTAAAGGGCAATGTTTTAAGTACGATACATGCCTCAAACAATTACAGTTATGTATGAAAAATGTCAGACAGTTTTCGACCAAAACTGTTTGATTTTTTTTTTAAACAGAACTGTATATGGCATAACTTAAAATCCCATATCATATGTCATATCTGGCAATTTAGGTCATTTTCAAATACATGGAGTCAACAAATTTTAGTTCATGAATAGTAGTACATGTATGTTTCAATAAAATCCAGTTTTTAACTTAAAAGTTTTTTTTTAAACGTTACTTCTGGTTTGATAAAATAGTTTTTGCACGCCGGTCCGATTCTGAATCATTCTCTCTACAGAGTTGTTTTCGGGAGCATAAGGCGGGAACGACAACTCTGGACAGAGAACGCATGTACTTTTCTGTAATAATTTTTTTTTAATTCTTTAACCAATAGTGTAATAATAACAATTAAAATAACCATAATAAGTTATTATTGTACTATGGGTCAAAACATTTATTACAGAAACAAGTGCCTGTGATAGAGAATGCGGTCTAAATCGTGATATGGGTTTTCGGACCGTCTTTGATTGATATATGGGGTATTGTGAAGTCACTTGTATCGTACAATGCAGAATCGGTGTATTTACTGCTAAGTGTGTATGATTAAAAAGTGGTAATTGATATGATTGAAACAAGATATTTTAAAACCAAAAAATATATATTGATCAGTTGAAGATCTTAATACAGAAAGAGTGCCAGTTTGTGAAAAGGGATTGATTTTCATTGTTGAGAAGACACGTTTCATTACAAACAAGAATTGATTCATTGTCAGGAGGACCCCTTATAGTGCATTACAAGAACAAAAATCGAACTCAAAATAACGAAAAGGCAGAATATCTGACAGTCCTGATTTAGCATGGCAGAAAACAGCATATCAGAAAATAATATTTATAGTGACAACAAAAGTATTGAGGAAATTTTAAAGTGTCCTATCTGTCTTGAAAAGTTTAAGGAACCACGATGTCTACCTTGTTTGCACACCTTTTGTACCTCGTGTTTGCATAAATATATCGCCGGTCCCTGGAATCAACCACTAGGATCTTCCCTTTGGGAATCTCTTTGTCAATCCTTTCAAAATCAAACCGTGGATTCACAGAGTGATCTGTTGAAGAATCATGGATTCTTGTGTCCCGTATGTTGAAAGCACTTAGATATTGATATGAAGTATGAAAACAGAGAAGAGTGGATCGAGCAAATTCCAACCAATCATTTTATGAATAATTTGTTGGATAAATTGTCAATTGATGAAAACAAGAAAAATTGCGATCCTTGTTTTTCTCAAGGCAGCAGTAAACTTGCTACCTCCTGGTGCCTGAATTGTCATGAGGCTCTCAGACAGGCTTGTGAACAGGATCACAAAAAATTCAGGCTATTTAGAAATCACATGCTTTCGGACTTAAAAAGAAAAGGAACTGATAGAAAGGACCAAATTACTGGTTTTATTCCATGTCCAGATCATAGATCAGAAGATGCCAAAATATTCTGTCATGATCATCGAAGCGCATGCTGCACCATTTGCGCTACAATTAAGCATCGGTCATGCAAGGAAGTTACTTCATTAAGAGATGCTGCATTTGAGGCAAAAGAGAGTTCGGAAACAAGGAATTTACTTAAAAGATTAACAGATATGGATAATCAGTTGAAAAAAGCAACCGAAGAAAAACAAGAATTCCGCAAAGAAATAGCAAACGAGTCCACATCAATTAAAATCAGAATTGAAGAATTCAAAGAAAACGCAAAATTGAAGTTAGATAGCATGTGCTCTTCTCTTCAAACACGACTTCAGTTTGAAAGTCAGAATGCTGATTTTGAGATAAATAATTCGTTACTTGATATTGCTCGCGTTTCCAGTCGTTTGCAGCAACATATTCAAATTTTGGAAGCATCGATTTCACAAGGGTCCAATGAAGAGTGTTTGATTGAATTAGAAACAGTGCGCGCAAATGAAAGAGATATCAAAATCGATGTCAAAGATTGTTTAATGAAAAAGACCCCTCAAAAGATATCTCTCGAGTCTAATGCCTTTTTTGAGATGAAATGGCCGGTGACACTCGCAGATATCCGTGTCCTCCGTTCACCGATATCCATAAACACCGAGACTCAGTATAATTCATATGAAAATCCCGTCAGACATGAACAGCGCCGAAGTAAGGGCATTTATCGTCGTTAATAGCCATTAAAAAAGAAAGAGAAAGTTTAAATGTATATAACTTTACATTCCCATCTCTCATATCGAGGCATCATCAGCTCTGGGTGAAATATCAAATTTGCTGTGGAATCAACCAATACAGAAAAGGATCTTTCCAGCATGATACACTATCTCGAATGATGATTATAAGAAGATCTTTGACTTTCACATGCCTATCTTACATCGTGGTGGTGGTGTGAGTAAGGATGTGCCTTAAATTATTTGGTGACTGTTCCTTCGTCCAACGCTTTACAATAGAGCACTTTGCTGTACTGAACTAATTTTTTGGAAAAAAAAATCTTATTTTAATTTTACGAATTTGTTCAATATGGCGTTTTTATAATTAATGAGTGGTTGATGACATATTTAAACACATGCTTAAAAATTATCATGATTTATTATTTTTATCCCTATAATTGCATTATCATAATTGAAAATCACTTCACTATAAGCGTCAATTCATTATAAGCGTGTTCGCTATAAACGTATTTTACTTAACTTATTCATTATGCCCGGGTAGCTCAGTGGTTGTGCAATGTCAGTAATATTTCCAACAAAGCGCAGTAGTATGTGAGAGCGTATGGTTATTTACAGCCCGGATGCGAGGTTTGATTTCCGGGTTCTCCGGCTTCTTCCAGAGGGTCTGACTATAGAATGCATGCCCAAATTCTACACTAAATATGTAGAGCTATGTGTCATATTATTACATGTAATTACTTGTACTGTTAGATACATCTTTTACATTTTCAATGTCATTCGCTAAACGCAGAATATATAAGAAGCAAATATTTCTTCAATATTCTAGAATAAATGTATACTTCCAATCTGAAGACTTATTTAATTTGGTTATAGGGAATGTAAATCACAAAAATTAAGCTGTGTTCGTTTTGTGTTTCCTCACACACACACGGTCCATAAAGTCCAAACCACCTCAGCTTTAATCAAATATTTATAAACAGTACATCTTATACATGTAGAAAATTTTATGAAAAATAGATAATTTATTCAGATCAGCTCCATTTCTATGGAAATGTCAACTTTAAACGGACAAGTTGATTTTCAATCGGATTTCACCTGTTTTTTGCGAGACATATTTCTTATTCCTTCATATCCATGATTACACTAAAATATTTGAAAATACAAAGATATTTTCTGGATAATCATAGTAGTATCTTTATTAATGGCGTATAATTTACAAATAAATATATTGCCGAGCTTTTTTTCGAAATGTCAGCTGAATGCAGTTTAGACATGAAAAGTAAGTAAATCGTTGAGTGGCCCTGGTTGTATCCATGCAACTCCGGCCCCTTTGTTTTACTGCCCTGAGTAAAATTTAGAGGAAATCATGAAACACATGTACAGTTTAAGGAAGACAAGACTTCAGAGTAGTACTGTAATAATGTCATTTATTCAAATAGTATTGTCGTTTCCTAAATAATGAATTGTAAGGAGTGCATGACTCATATTATGACACTTTTGTAATTCATTATTTAGTAAACGACAGTAACAAAAAGGTTTGATATAAACTTAACATTATAAAAAAAACAACAAATTAGCACTTTGTTTATTGTTATTTTAACGTAAACTGGATCAATGTGCAGAAGGGCATGTGTGTATGACGTCCTGTTAATCCAGTCTTTCACTAGTCTTCTGCTGTTCTGCATTTTGGACTCGATTGTTTCTTGGAAAACGATTGCTGAAAGCTGTCTTTGGAGATAGAGGCCATGGATGCGTTGAAATTTCGACTGAAAGACGCTCTCAATGGCCCATTTCTTTGAAACATACCCTTGAACATAGTAGAGAACCTGTCATCAGATAGGCCGTAAATAAACGGGTTAGACACATTATTCAGGAATATTGTCCACAGAAATATGTAGTACAAAGCGCCGCCATAGAATCCCATGGAACACTCAAGATTTTTCTGGATGTGCAGGACAAGTGCCAGGATATCGTGAGTTAGGGCGTTTATTAAATAAACAACGGAAATAATTAAAAATGTCATCGTCGTCTTCCCGATGTTGAAATTTTTCTGCTGTCCCTTTTGGCGGTTTTTAGTTCTTACAGTGCTGTACTTGGAGTGGCTACGAATCCTCCGGAGAATCAGGGAGTACAAGACACACAGAAAGACAGTGACAATGACCAGCATTACTGTCAGGGCTATGTAGTTCCACTGGGCGATCGTTATGGTCAAAGGGTCATTCTCCAGAAAGCAGCGTGTTCCTTCTATGTGGTTGATGTTCGTGTTAACTTTTGAATTTCCGTATAGCAGTGGCGTAAACCACGAGAACCCCAAGGCAAACACACAGATGAACAGACAACTTAGCTTGGATTGCTGCTCCGTAAGCTGTTTCTTTAGAGGCCGGCAGACTTTCAGGAATCGGTCCACGGCTATGAGGACTAGGACCAACGATGACGCAATGTGTACAAAAAATCCAAGAAAATAACCGGCCTTACAAATAAAGTTAGATGGAAAGTTAACGGGATAGTACAATGAGAGAATTGCGAAGGGCATTACAAATACACAACTGATGAGATCTAGCATCACCAGGAACAAGACGTACACACGGTAGTTAGAGACTTTAGTCTTCGTGCTATACAGCAACAGAACACTGACGTTTCCAATCAAACTCAGTGTCATTTGGAGACTTATAAAGTAAATCCCCGGAATATTTCGGCGCATGAATTCAGTGTTGATGTCTTCAAGCGTCGTTTGGTTGTTCCATTGTCTGTGGACAAGCCACTGAGGACAGGAGAGAACCTCCCTCTGTGCATGGGTGTGGTTCCTGTGTGAGCTGGTCAGTGGGATATCAGATCTTGGACTGGGTAGATGGTCAATCACTGGAGGTTGGTCCGGCATAGGAGCTGGCATATCATGTAATCCGTCTTCATCCATCTTTGATATATTCTTTAGAACTGTTGGTTTTACTGGTAATGCTCTTTCGGTTTACGTGTTCTGTTGTAAAAGCAATACTGATATTGAGAAAGAAATGTATCTGTAGACTTCACATAAAATGATAAACGTCGATTCAATTATATATTTATTACTTTTGTCTCTGACGTGTATTTCACAAGATAACATCAGTAATACTCAGATATCAGTTTAAATGGAATATAATTGCATTAAAGATAAAATGATGACCAATTATCGATGTCCCCTGGTCAGTTTTTATTCATTGAAGGTAATAAAATTATAAGTCTCCCTGTAGGTTAAAAATGTAGTAATATGTTGTACCTTGTTTATTTGAATTTAGTAGACAACCTTTTAAAGTTAATTTTTTTTTTGCATTATACATGTACATATACATGTATATAAATTTCTAATCAAATGTCAAGAGTCATATAGACACATGAACTCTACTTTAAACTGACTAGAAAAGATTATATTTTAATTTAATATTTGAAGTTATGCTTTTCAAATCAATAACAAATTGTAAAATTATAACATTAACTCTTATCGTTTTCGATTATCGCAGCACTTGAGTATGCAGTTTTTAATTATAAATATAGATCGATTGTGTTATATTTCTTAAAAAATTTAGTAGTTCTGTCGAAATACTGTTCTTTTTCTTCGAGTACGTATAGAATAATAATAATCCCACGTAGGAAAATTTTAAGTCATTTGGTTCTATTTTTAAATGTTTGATATGTTTTATTCCTTTATTTGAAACCAATCACGTGTATTAACTTGGCATCTAAACTGCAGTAAAAAAAGTCAATAGAATATATAACAGTTATCTGATTGTATAAAACATTATTTGGACCTAAGCTGCCAATACAAGTTATGTATAATGGTGCTACCGTTAGGACTGGTTTTCCTTGTTCTATTGCGCGGTTCTTATGGTAAGGATGATGATTAAGTTAAAATTTGTATCCTAAGTTCAAGTTCATTTTAAAGAAATGAACAATGATTTTTATACATGCAAATTTTCCATGCTTATGTGGAAGTGCTCTTTTCTAAAAAAAATCTCAAAGGTTTTTCATATGGAATGATATAAACATTTTTACGAAAGCCCATTGAGCTCATTCTCGTAGATAAAAAAATATATATTTTTCGCGTTATAACGCGTAACTTTCGCGAATAAACGCGTAACTTTCGCGTTATAACGCGAAACTTTCCCTGTAAAACAGAGACATTTGCATAAGTCTACAGTTTGTTTTACTTTTTAATGATCTAGTTTATTCATTACAGTGAAAAACGAAAGACTATTTTGAACTTGGATTATCACGAGCTGAAATTTTATGTTTTCTCGCCATTGAATGTGTCTTTCCTCTTTCTAAATCTTTTTTGCCGTCACATTTTGTCTTTCTCAATGCTGTTCAATACAAGTGTTGAAGCGTATAGTAGAGGAGCGAAAATACAAGTCTAGATTGAACACTCTGTATAGAATTTGAAATAGAAGATCTCAGAAAATTGACAACAATGAGGTAAATTTGTATTTCACGGAACAATTGTGTCACATCACATGTGAGTAACCTAATGTGAAAATTGGATGACAAATATTCGTATCAAATATTTCATCTCCGATAGACTCACTGAAGAAATACAACATTGTATGTTAAGGTTGCACCATTTGGTCATACCATTACTTACGAAAACATTGACAATTTATTCAAAGAAAGCAACGAGTGGAGATCTTCCTGAGAAAAAAAAATTAGATTACAGAATTTCTTGGATTCAACAAGTGAAAAACAAGAAAATCTTTAAAGGAATATTCATTTAATTAATTAGTAGGGTTTTGAGATTAAATGCAAAATCAACACTAATCTATCCATTTCTCGCATCAATTCTCTTTTATATCTTCTGAAGAAATGTCATTTATAAATTCATAGAAGTCCCCCTCTGCGTTCATGTTTTTTATCTGTCAGTCAAGATCACAGGTTCCTGAGTAACAAGACTATATATGTATAATTTCGCGTTAAAACGCGAAAGTTTCGCGTTTTTTCGCGAAAGTTACGCGTTTATTCGCGAAAGTTACGCGTTATAAGGCGAAAGTTACGCGTTTATTCGCGAAATTTCGCGTTATAACGCGAAAGTTACGCGTTTATTCGCGAAAGTTACGCGTTTATTCGCGAAAGTTACGCTTTATAACGCGAAAGTTACGCGTTTATTCGCGAAAGTTACGCGTTATAACGCGAAAAATATATTTTTGTTACCTACGAAAATGAGCTCAATGGGCTTTCGTACATTTTAAAGTAACTGGTTTATCACATAGAAAAATATGAATTCGTCGAATCTTTATATAGTGTCAATTTTGAAAACTGATAATAAAAGTCAAACTTCAGTGTACACTTATATGAGATTATTAAATTTGATGGCTTCCTTCTTTGTGTACATGTATGTTTGTGAAATTTCAGGTTACCACAATGACCCTGAAGCGTGTACATCAGACAATACGACTGTGATAGTAATCAATCAAGAAGTCTCCTGTGTATCGCCACAAGTAATCTCCAGTAATACGCTCGGTGTTTGGATTCGACCCCAGCTCCTGGATGGACGACCACTTGTGCTGTCGGACGAATGTACGTGTGAACATTCATGTTCTTGGCTTCTAAACGGTAAGTTGATTGTATACTGCAAACTGATATATGAAATAATTTTATATATAAAATGAAATGTGAAGGTAAAGAAAGTTCAATTAAACAATACTTGTTGATCAGGTGCCCTGAATTGTTTTGATAATTTTTAATTTATTTTTAGACACGTTACCAGCTAATGGTACAAAGACGGCGAGGGTATTTTCTCAATGTTATGGAAGCTGGTACTTTTGGGTCAGGAAATGTGACGGGTTCTTTTTGTTTTACCTGGATTACTGGGATTATTTCGTTTTGATAAACTGGTTTCATGGTGGAATATGTCTAGGTAAAATAGAATGTTTTAAAATCCTTTTTATACCCTTAAAACTGTTTGAAAAGTTAAAAGAAAGAAATAAATCTATGGTGATATTAAATATGTGTAAAAATGTATATGGGAAGGTATGATGTAAGCCAGAAGCGTTTAAATCATCGTCCAAACAAAGAAACAGATACAGATTAACTCTAGGTCATCGAAGTTTCACAACTAAATATGATCGCGCGATAATTATTTGATATTAATAAGCGAGACAAAATTTCACTAGCTTGGGTAATTCATTTATATAATCTTTGAAAATACAAATACGCAAAATAAACTGTATCCAATTACTCGAAATTAAAGTTCTCGTGAATATAAAGTGAGTTACACTATCTAAAAACCATTAGACAGAAGCAGTCCAAGGACATGCAGGTAATTGTAATTGAATTTAAAAGCTTTTCAAAATATATTGAATTACACCACGCTGAAACACGTTATTGACAACTGAAGGCATGAGAGTGTGCGTGTATCAATTGTTAGGTGTGATTTTTTTTGGTTAAAAGTGTGGATTATCTGTACATAACTCCCATTTTTCTATGAACTCCGCCCATCAACCCAGGACAAAAGAGCATTTCAAAGAACCAAGCCACATTTTTTTTAAATCGAACAATCATCCGGACTAGATACACCAAAATCAAGAGCAAAAAATATATAAATCGTAAAAAACATCAGACGATCATTATTAGTTGAAAACCTGCATTTTAGTCTTTGACTTTCGTTAACATATGAAAAACAAGTGCGGAAATCGCAGGATTAATTTTTTTTTTCATTTTTCTATAAATATTCCCATGGTCATTGAGCCATTACCTAATATTGGTGTTGATATGGTCGGTATTTCTTAAATGATTCCAATATCGTTTTATTTATAACCAACCAAGAAATTTGATATATAACATCAAAAATGTAAAGGATCAGAGTTTCACTTAGAAAGAAACTTCCGATAAATCATTATACTCACATTTTCTGTCCCCAGAAGACTTTCACACTATCTTCTTCCTCAAACTCCTCTTACATTTTTGCAGTAACCATGCACTAATATTTGGAATATGATTGAGACTGTCCTGTAAACTTGCAATAAAGTTTCGGAATTTCGATTTTCACCCACAATAAGGAATCAAAAAATGACGTTTTTCTACAAAAATATCGTTCTCTGAACTCCTCTTACATTTTCTGCAGTAACCAATAATCTTTCACTGAACTCCTCTTACTTTTTTTGCTGTACCCGTTTCCTCTTTTGCAAGATGATTAAGGGTGTCCTGCAGATGTGCACAAAGGTTTTGGAATTTTTATTTTAAATCTAAAGGTCAAATTTGGGTTGAAAATTGTTGATTTTTCATTTTACAAAAACCTGGTTCCCAGAACTCCTCATGCATTTTTCACAAAAGCCATGTTATCTTTTGCAAGATGACAGGGAGTGTTCTGTAGATGTACAATAAGGTTTTATTATTATCATTTTTACCCTGGGGGCCAAATGGGTTAAAAAAAACACGATGCTTTTCATTATACAAAAACCTGGTTCCCTGAACTTCTCTTAAATTTTATGATGTTGCCATTTCAACTTTTGCAAGATGATTGTTTGTGGGTGTCTTGTAGATGTTCAATAAAGTTTTAGAATTTTCATTAATTTTTTACCCTTTGGGCCAAATGGGGGTCGAAAATTGACGGTTTATGTTCTAATTTGGGCGATTTTTTCTTCGGTTTTTTCCAATACAGAAAAACATTTTTTTTTTCTGAAACTCCCTCTTTTAAAATCAGAATTTTCTTTATTACATTCGATCTTTAATTTCAGACTGTTATGAATTTATTTTTTAAATACTAACATATAAGACGTCCACGGCCATATGTTCATCTGTCTATTTTACGCTTTATTTGATAAATGTATACATATTTGTATTTATTACAGAGTAATTTTGTGGCTTCTTCGCTACCCAGGTATAAGGGAGCTAGCGTGCGTTAGAGACAAACACTTTAAAGTGCGGATACTACTGTCTTATGACAGCATCTAGTTTCTTTAATTCTGACTTCTAAAAGTTTGTGGGACAGATCCATGAGACAGTCACTAAGAATCCCGGATCTATAAATAATTTATGGTTAAGCCCAACTTATTTATATAAAATTGCATCAATACTGGCATCGTGCATTTTAAATTTAGAAGGTGGAGGTAAATATTTAAAAAAAAAAAAAAAAAAAAAAAAAAAAAGTTCACTTTGTAATTTTTCTGATGCCACCTAACTAGTAAAAGTAATTATAAAATTTACAAATTGTTGTCATGTTAGAATTTTTGAATTTATTGTTGCAACCTGGTAAATTAAACAGATTACTATGTAATACGACGTGGAGAAAATTAGCACTTTTTTATTAAGCTTAAAACAGAATTCACTTTTCTTCAATGTAGTCGTGAGAGCAATATATAAGTACATTTATTCTTATAGCTCCGTATCAAGGATCATGCAAGAAATCAGGAACCTTTGATGCCACAGGTGAGTTCTAGGTCAAAATATCCTAAAAGCACTCATGTAATATTACAATATAAAAACTCTAAACATCTGTTTGTTGAATCAAAACTACCCGATAGTTCTGAACCATTAAAAAAATTTCCCTTGAGTACACCATATCAAAGTAAAAAAAAATTAAATGTTCTCTTTCACATGGACGCATATTTTACATTTTTTTAAAAACAACTTGTTGCAAAGCAAATCTCTTCAACAAAACATTCTGACTTTTTCATTAAAACCGAAGACACTCTGAATGTGTGTCCCAAAGTGGGGAGTTTTCATGAGGAAACTGAAGATAAGACAGCAATGGAGGCGGTCTTTAAGTGTCAATTCCAACCAATTCCTGGAAACGTTGTGTACGACGTCCAGTGGTATATCGACGGAACGCTCCTCGATAACGCCAAATACACTGGGGTCAGTTACAGTAACATTAATGATACAGCCCTACGGACAAAGCACTGGGTGAACAACTTCACTCTGAGTTTTCAGGTACAAATAATTGAAAAAAAAATCATGCAGCTTGTAAACGTGTTGTCATGTGCTCTCAGTGTATATAAAACTGATGAAAATTGAAAAAAAAAATTGCTACTGAATATCTTAATCGTTACCTATATATTTGCAGTTATCTTGCGCTGTAAGAGTTAGAAATGTAACGACTGGGATACAGGGAGATTTTACTGAAAGTTATCCATATTTTGCGGGCATAAAGGTAGAGAAACAATTAATTGTGTTGTGTTTACTGTAATAATTCACTTGAAATATTTTGCATAGAAGTTGATGAAAACAATTATTTTGACACAAAATGTTCAATCTTGCAGTCAAGTCAGCTCCAGTATTTTGTGTTTGAGGGGGAGACAATTCAGATAAGTCTGGAGGCTACAGTGCCATTCAGCTGTCCTTCTACTCTGAGTGACGCAATGAAAGACTCCCACTGTAATTTCCAATTTTATATCTGGACCCCAGGGGAGGGACAGTGCGTGAATGGTCTTACTAGCAACGGAGTGGCCTTCAAGGATAACCCTTGTGGAGTTACATTTGGTTATAAAGACAAAACGGCATCTATCAGTGTCACTGGTTATATTGACGGAATGGTCAATTTCAGGGAGAGAAAATCTACCTTGAGGATTGCTTCTACAAGAAATCCAATGGATTCCACTGGAATATGGAACGGAGCAAAGATTCCGGATATTACAGTACGTTTAATTTATCTCTCCTATACTTATTTTCTGTATCTTTACTCTTATACAGAATTCGTATTTCCCACTTTGCTCTTCCACTGGTATTGTCTGCTATTCTTTGAGTACCTTTTTATCCATAAGTTCTCCGCATTTCACCTCAATTTTTTTTCTTTGTTACATCATGTAACAGTATATTTTGGTTGATTCGCTTTAGACAACTACGGTTACTTGTAACTGGTGAGGTACACTTCATTGATTAGCTATTATACACACTAGTTTGGTGTACCTAAGGAAATATGATAAATTTTATTCATGTCCTAAAGGTTACCGTAAAAGACAAAGACTCCTTGGTATCGGGTAAGTTATGTGCTTCCTACACGGATCCTCACCAAAGAACATTCGACGGGAGGTACTTCTCCAACCAACGGGCTGGAGAGTTTTTGCTGTACAGGCACAAAACGTTGCCCTACACGGTATGTCAATTTAAATGCAAAAAAATCAACAAAAGTATGACCACCCATCATATTGGCTTAAGAGATTTCAGCTGAATGGTCATTCTGTAAATATGGGCAGCTCATAATTTTTTCAGGTGCATGTTTTGTTTTCTGCATGTGTTTGGAGACGCGCCACATGTAATTGTGGTATTGCCATAAGAAATGGCAGGAGTCTCTTTTCTGTTCGCACATGCGCCGAGATATCTACAAGTTGGACAAAGACTTTGACAATACCAGAAGAAAAAACCGAAATATGTAATGATAACGATCTCCACATTGAAAAATTTTGGCGCTATTACACGGTAAGAAAAAATAGAACAACGCAATCTTGCTCACACAAACCGTATGTGCATACTATACTTTAAGCTTTATCTTATTTACTAAGTGTTTGGTTTGAGAAAAGGAATAAATTTAATGGTTCAATTAGGTTACTTTTCCGAGCGGTACGGAGGTGTCGTTCTCGATTTCCTGGTGGAGTAACTGGGTGGGTAGTATTCGAATTAGAGCATCTGTTTCTGATATTGGGGAAACGGAGGGCTTGTGTGGACCCGCCAATAATGATGTCACAGATGACTTCATTCCTAGAAATGGACAGAGGGCTACAGATCTAAATAGCTTCGCAGAATCATGGAGGTATGGCCTTAAGTTATTGAATAATAAATCTCTATTTTTTAAAGTATCTGTCGACCTGTCAGCTTTAGATATAAACTTCACATGAGTATATAGTCTAATAATTTATTGTGCAGAATACCATGGAATTCTGCTGAGGAAAGTCTATTTGTGAAAAATCCAAAACTCTTAACGAAATCCTTTTCGTAAGTAAAAATTTAATCCTATGAAACATTAAAAATGCATATCCATCGTTATATTTTTTGAAATATTCATATGTGTCTGTTTTAAATTTTGTATATCATATTTCAAAGACCTATACCTCTACATGTACCACAGCTATTCCTCCGAGGGCAACACAGACAAAGAGAATTATTGTACGTGCCCGTCTGATGAGCCACTGGATCCTTACAGTCCAGACTTTGAGTCTCGAAATCAGGCCCACTGTAACCAGACGACACCAAGCTCTGTGTGTGGCAGTCAGGTTTCCATGGTGATGGATTCTTCTGCATGTGACACCACCTCACGTAGAAGAAAGCGTTCAGTTGAATCAGATGATGTTGGGGACTCTACTGTACTTACCTATGCTACCGATTACGATGAAACAGCTGTCTTCAATGTAAATATGAGAATTAATTAAATTTTTGACCGTATGTTTTACCGTTTATTTTCAATTTGTTAAGTATTCTTTTACGTTGACTATTACCTATGACCGTTTTTAGAATTTTTATTACACTCTCAATATGTAGTCTTTTGGTGAATCAAATCATGCATTTCATTGGACATAAATATCCAAAATAGGTAAGTGACTGGATTAATGGATGGAACGCCACGTCAGCCAGGAAATATTGCACTGACGCCTTTACCTTTGACCCCGCTGTGGAGACGTGTAATTCACTTGTCAACATCTCTTCAGAGTCTTACATAGACAGTTGTGTGGAGGATATCAAAGTATTTAATTTTTCTCACTAAATAGCACATCCTTCTTTATCACACAGTCTTTTTTATTTTGATAGGGGTATATTTTTATTTAAATATAAATACAAAAAATCGACTTACTGCTGAATGTCTTACATGCAAATATAATCTTCAGGACTCATCAATTTGTTTGCATCAATTAACAAAGCATTTACTATCCTGAGTTAATATAGAATGATGTGCAAATATACATGATGTATTCAGTGAATCAAATAGTTACTTGTAATTAGCTGGTAATGATTTCAGATGTCTGGAAATACAACGTGGGTAGATGATACACTAGACACACTAAAAGGGGCGTGTCTTACGGAGGCCAAGAAACAGGAAGTGTTTTATACTAACTCCACCTCTAACTCCTCCTCGGAGTTGTCAATCATCCAACTGATCACAGCTCAACTTTGTCCCGCCAACTGCTCTGGAAATGGAGAATGCAAAGATGGTATATTGAGGACACTATTTAACACAAATCAGTTCATTAAAAAGTCTGCACAGTAATTGGCAAATCTATCGAAATTAATATACTGAATATAGATTATCATAACCATTCTGCATTATTGCTATGCAAAAATATTAAATCAAGTTCATGATTGAATCCTTATTTGTCATTGGCAGGTTCATTAATATAAATATTAGGGATGTCAAAATATTTATTTTCCTTAGTCGATTATTCGATTGCATTATTCGAACGATAGTCGAATATTCGGAATATTTTCTGAAAATAAAATTTTATTTCAAACTGCGCTGGTTCATGACATATTTATAACTCAAAAACCCTTTTACATAATCTATTTAAAAACGTAACATCAAAATTAATGCAACGTAACGCGTGGAAAGCATGATTATATGAAATTTTAGAAACCTAATTCTCCAAAATATGTGATTTCCCCATCAATCGAATTCATAAATCGGTCTATACATGCAGTCATTTTTTTATTTTAGTAGGCATTTAAAAAATTGCCAGCCGATATCTTTTAAAGCTTGTTAAGAAATAAATGGGGGGGGGGGGGTGATCAAACACTATCCACATTTCAGGTGCCTGTGAAATTGTTTAATTAACAGTTAGATACTGCTTATTCATTTATTGATTGCTCTGCCTTTCAAAATGTCCTTAAACAGTTTAAAATATAAGCGAATTGTTTTAATAATTATAGAAGTGTCAAAACATGTCATAGCTATGGTTTGTTCCTTGCATTCGAAGATTGATTGATTGATTGTATGTTGTTTTACGTCCCATTCGAGAATTTTTCACTCATATAGACGTCACCACTACCGGTGAAGGGCTTTAAATTTTGACCTTTACACTGCACTCAGGGCCATTGAGCAGTGAGGGATCTTTATCGTGTCAACGCCTGCCGTGACACGGGGCCTCGGTTTTTAAGGTCTCATCCGAAGGACCCGCAACTTTCACTTCAAAGTGCCGAGCGCATGGCGAAGGAACAGTTGCTACCTATTTTTTATCGACTTAGGTCTGTCGCTGCCGAGATTCGAACTCACGACCTTCCGATCACGGAGCGAGCGCTCTACCGACTGAGCTACCGTGAACGGTTTGCATTCGAAGAATCTTAAAATAAAAGATAATTGGTGCATGTATAAGATCAAGTCCAATTAGTAATTTTATAAACAAAGCCCAGTATAATTACAAAAACAACACGGGCAGTAACTGACAAATAATTCTCGCAGTATTGAAGCACTTATTATTACTGTACAGTTCTTTCTATACGTGCATGGAAAATCAATCATTTTTTGTTGCGGAAAAATTATATCTTATCGACTGTCTCTGAGGAAAGACGGTTTCTCAATTTTGTGATAAGAATTCCATATCGTTATCATTCTTTTATTGCATTTATTGAATTATAATAATAATATTCAAATGTCGTTTCATTATTCGATCGTCGGTTTATTCGACTGATAGTCGAATAGTCGACTATTCGTGGACATCCCTAATAAATATGTTTTGGTTTTCTTTTAGTTACATCATTTTTTCTGTTAAATAGCTGCGTGTTTCTGTCGTAACGGGTTTATTGGGAGTGATTGCTCTGTCCGTTTGTCAGTGCCACCAACTGACTTTTCTTTGCCGTCCAGTGGAATTTGTGATACAAGAAAACGATCATGTCAAAAAACAAATATTGTAGGCAAATTCTACTCTGAAAACGTCGTTGCAAAGATGTTGTATTTTGAGGTAGGATATCTCAGTTTAAATCTAACAATTGTGTAATATATCATACGTTCTTCAAATAACAATGGTCAATAAAACTAATTGAACAAAAAATATATTTCTAAGATAGAAGAAATGGAAGTGTCAGAGTCTTTTTCTGTGACCTCAAATGCAACTTTCCGTCACTTCAACCTGATCACTGTGACGTTGCCTTCCGTTTCTGCGTCTACTCGACGTCGACGTCGCTCAGTGATGGATGGTGTTCATGGTTGGAATATCTCGCTTAGTTATGATGGTATAACCTTCAGTGATCTTGTGACTTTATTGGTGTATGACAGTCAGAGATACTCGTGTGACACAAAGACTCTAACGTGCCAGAAGATGGTATGTGAAAGTGAAATTTAAGTCTCATTTATCTTTGTAAAGCAAACAAAGATTTAAAAAAAAAATTGAATATACATGTTTTAGATATAATATAAATATATTTAGTATACATTTGAGTGTACAACTTTTTCAGATAAGTGAGGCGAGATCCTCATCCAAATCAGGTACGTTAAAATTCGCTTTACACTTTTATTTCTGGTACATTCAATTTTACCTATGTTGAAGGTTTACTTACATTCATAATATATAATTGTGATCTTTATGTTTTTGGGTGGAGATGCTCTTTTAGATAGACAAACTGACAAATACACACGATGTCAAGAGTTTATACATCAGATGTGTACATTACTTAAAGAAATTACATGAAAGATTACAGTGTACTATAACGCCAAACTACATACTTGTTTATATTGTAGGTCCTGACGTCAACATTCCTGCCATTGCTGGTGCTACAGGTTTTGCTACTGTAGCAGTTGCTGTAATTGTAATTGTTATTGTTCTCATTAAAAAGAAAAGGTTAGTCGTGATGCGATTCTTTGAAGACAATTACCATTTAGAATTAATGAGAGCAACTGAATTGAGACATGCTTACTTTGACTCTATACTGTAATGTTGTGAGGATAGTAAGATTATGAATTCCAAAGAGCTTGCAATTTAGCTGAGATTCCAAATATAAATTTCTTTTTAAACGTGCAGGTGATTTTCTTTGGAAAAAGAGATATTTTACTTGTTTTATGCATCTTTTATCCACATTTATACTATTCATGTATTTCAGGTTTCCAGAAGGTCGCGCCCAGTCTGTTATAGGTATACAGAAGGAAGACGGTCTGAAAACGATACCAAGAAATGACGCTGGGTCTCTGTGGGTGGGGGGTACTGACTACGGTCAGCCCATACCGTCCCTGCCCCCAACTTCTTATGTCTACCAGCAGAAACGGGAACCCACTGATATATCTCTGCATTTTGAAGAAAAGAATTAGTTTTTTTTATTTCTTAAATGGACGATCAATTTGATACGGCTTAATTGTGAAGATTGTATTACTTTGAATCATTCTTAATATTTACGATTTAGTGACCAAACTATACTAGTATATGACTCGTAACTGTGTAAAATAATTCTGATATTTTTATATTTTGTGAGATAAATAAAGAAGATGGGCATATTTGGGTTCTGATCTGCAGGAATCATCTCTATGAAACATAGTTTAAAAGTCCACGATATGGTCGGCTGACCAAAGCTGAACAGACTTTACAAAGTTACACATAAAGGAAAAAGTTTTATTTACATTAAATTGCCCTGTCAATTTTAAATTGTCCATTCATCATAGTAGTTACGATAATATAGATCACAAAAATGATAAACATCTATAAGATAATAAGATAATAGGATAGGGTACATATTTAAGTTTCAGTAGGTTGGAAGAATTGCTGTCGCTGTCGTTGCAATTGAACCTTTATTGATATTTTTTAAATTTTTAATAAATCAATAAATATAATTAAACTGACAAATAACTTGATTGTTAGCTGAGGAACTGTAACGTTAAGGTTTTATATTTTAGCCTTTGACAACAACGCTACAGATCTCGTAATGCAAATAAAGTGCAATTTACGGCGCAAGATTTTCTGCGCACTTTGGGGATGTACTTTGCCACTTTCCAGCACTAGTCAATCAATGATCTTTCATTCCCTAATTCTAGACATATTCTATAACCAACCTGTATATTTTTTCCACCTACGAACCCTTTCTAGTCGTCTCTACAGACCAATAAATAACTTGAAGTATGGCTAGATAAGTCATTTGGTACAGAATGTTACATTTTAAAAAAAAAATAATCTAAACATTTACTATCGCAGTGACTCTCTCCATCATTATAAAATGTTTTTGTGCATTTTAATCTAAAGAAACGAGCAAACATTTTTAAAAAGAAACAAGACCAAGAGACCATGATGAATTCCCTTACTAGCAGTCTTATAAATATCTCTCAGATTTTGTGATATGAATTAGTCTTTTAGTGGATGACTTTGCATGTATTTATGATGTACATTTGCAAGCAGTAGTAGTGTTTATTTATTATAGTGAAGTGTTTAACAAAATAAGCAATAGGCATGAATTAATATCATTAATTGAAATACAAACACCCAGCCTGCTGGGCCTATATGTCACCTTAGAAGAAATAATCATAATTATCTAGTTCAAATATACAGCTTATATTTTTATACTTATACAGCCTGGTCTTTTTTTATTTGGATAAGAGGTCTTTATAATTTAAATTCATTACAGATGGCTCGCTCCGTAATTGGAAGGTCGTATGTTCGAATCACGGCCGCAACTGACCTAAGTCGATAAAAAAGTAGGCAACAACTGTTCCTTTGCCAAGCGCTCGGCACTTTGAAGAAAAAGTTGCGGGTCCTTCGGATGAGACCTTCAAAAAACCAAGGTCCCCTGTCACGGTAGGCGTTGACATGATAAAGAACCCTCACTGCTCAATGGCTCTGAGTGCCGAGTAAAGGTCTAAATTTGAAGCCTTTCACCGGTTTATGGTGACGTCTCTATATGAGTGAAAAATTCTCGAACAGGACGTAAAACAACATATAATCAATCAATCAATAATTACAGTGGTCCATAGTGAATATCATTTGAATAGAAAATTCTGCCACTATATATAGATATATCCGTGTTGAATTTAGAAAGTTCGGTGGACTTTCATCATAGTTCATTAAAGTATCAGATCTAAAGTGAACCATGGCGCAAATGAAAATCATACATCCTCACTTTCACAACTCAGACAAATCTGAATCTAGATCTGTACATAAAAAAGATCTCTGGTGGCAAATCGAGGTTGATTACTACATGTATGTTTCATCTTCTTCGTTTTTGCAATTTGTTGGGCTAGGTTGCCGTGTGTAATGCGTCTGTTTTCATCCACGCGGAGTGATCTGCTCTGCGCTTGCGGCAGACTATGGAGTAATGAGCGTGCATTGGTTTCAATAAGATGCTCGATTTTGGATTTGCTGTTTTTTTATATTCACTGATTTAGAAGACTCGCAGTTTTTTAATATTCACCTTGTTTCTTAACAACCTTCTCCTCTTTATTGTGCAAGCTGATACATGTATTTGTATTACTATCACAGTGGATAAAATGCTTTATATATCAAGAAATGTTTAATTATTATCATTAATGGTTAATAGAGTTGAAGTGTAATGATACAATTTTATAAGAAATAGATGCAAAGTGATCCAATGATGTTGCATCACAGTGTACATTATAATTGGTTGATTGTTCCTTCGTCATGCAAATATCGTGACTAAAATGTATGTAGATGGCAGAAGCTGTCAATGCATTTAACTCCTGTTGAGATTCGTAAAATTATCGTGTCAAGTCGAGATTATTTTTGTGACAATTTATTGAGACGTGATACAATTTTTTTGTTGAAATTTACAATCCATTTGATGTAATTGATTAATTCCTCTGATTTCTGGCTATTAATGATTGAAAACGAAAATATAAATGTACAGGTAATTGATTAAATTATTGCTTTAACATCATTGAGCTCGTATTATGAATTGTTTGATGACTACTGAGTTAAGTGTTGCTTATTAATTGATTGTTGATGAAAGCAAATCAATTTATTCCCAAATGTTTGGGAATCTTAACATGAAATAACAGCCATCAGCTTTCCATCATTGAACATACAATACATACAATCAAAATGGTTGATTTTTGCTTTTAAGTTCACCTGAGCCGAAGCTCAAGTGAGCTTTTCTGATCGAAATTCGTCCGTTGCCTGTCCTTGTCGTCGTCGTTGTCGTTAACTTTTCACAATTTCATCTTCTTCTCCAGAACCACTGGGCCAATTTTAACCAAACTTGGCACAAATTATTCTTGGGTAAAACGGATTTTAGATTGTTCAAATGAAGGGCCTCTTCCAAGGGGAGATAATTACAAACTAGTGAAAAAGTATGGCATCTTTTAAAAATCTTCTTCTCAAGAACAACTGGGCCAGGAAAGACGATATTCATGTGGAATTATCCTCCGGTAGTGTAAATTTAAATTTGTCCAAATCATGACTCCCAGGGGAAGGGCGGGGCTACAATGGACGATCAAAGTTTTACATATGTAAATATAGGATTTTTTTTTAAATCTTCTTGCACAGAACAACAAAGCCGTGATTGGTAATATTTATATGGAGGCATCCTCAGGTAGTGTTGATTTAAGTTTGTTCAAATCATGACCCCCGGGGGATAGGGTCGGGCAACAATTGATGATCAAAGTTTTACAAAGGTATACTTAGAATTTTTTTAAAATCTTCTTCTCAATAACAACAAAGCCATGATTGGTCATATTTATATGGAAGCATCTTCAGATAGTTTAGATTCAGATTTGTTCAAATCATGACCCCGGGGTGGGATGGGACCACAATGAACGTACAAACTTGTAGGAAAAAAAGACACAGTTAGTCAAAGAAGCATGTTAGCATCCTTAGTTAGTGTAGAAATCATACCCCTCACCCCCACCCCTTGTAGGGGTAGGTCGGGACCACTTATGCATTTAAGCTTTTCAATACTGAACTGATTTTTGCTTTTTTCCTAGCCACAGTGCTCAGGTGAGCGATGTTGCCCTTGAGCCTCTTGTTTTAAAAGTTACTTTGATACTGAAGGGTGATATATATCTTGTTAGGTTAACGACAGCTTTACATGAACTATAAATGATTTTAAATTCCTATATACACCAGCCTTTGCGAACAACGCTATTTCTTTCTTCAATTAACCTAATATTTTAGGTATATCAAATGCATAAAAATTTTGAAAAAGTTACTGATTTTTGAAAGATAAAAATATACAAAGATGGTAGACATAGACATTTAAAGTTACACGGGATTAAATGATTAGACGATTTTTGATGCCACGTAAGAAAATTTTGAACATTACTTGGTTCAATAAATACATTGTAGACCTATTTTATTACTTACTGCATTCTAGCTTCTTTACATAGATCACACATTTAACATAATGCTCAATGCAATATTTAAAAACTACTTTATTTGGTTGTAATGTATAGAAGTCGGACTTGGAACTGATTTTAATAACACGTGTTGCCAACAGACAAACATGCCAAATGGTGATAGTAGCATGGCTGGTTTTATTTCTTGCTTGAAATGTGGATAGTATGTTAAAATTGATTAGATAGTTTTTATTTCCATCGAACAATTAAAAACATATCTTATTAATAATGATGGATAATTTTGAGCCTTCATGACGTTAAGAATTGTGAATGACTTTAAAATTTTAAATTCTTATTAGTATATAAGATACTTGCTATACTTGCTTGTTAACGCCTTCTTTCAATTCTTAGATAATATCATTTCTCCCACAAAAGCTGGCCACACCACTCACCAGAGTCAATATGGCCCAGTCCTTCTTCATCATAAATTTTTTTCCAATATATTTGTTAAGACGCTAGTTGTTTTCAATTGACGTCCGTCACCGTGAAAAATATAACTGATATTGAGAAAGAAGCGGACCTGTAGACTTAGCATAAAATAACATCGATTAATTATATATTTATTACTTTTGTCTTTGACGTGTTTCTCTCAAGATAATATCAACAATACTCAGACATTAGTTTAAATGGAAACTTTAAATATAAAATGATGATAAATTACCGATGTCCTCTGGTCAGTTTTTATTCATTAAAGGCAAGAAAAATTTTTTATGCTTCGCTTTAGGTTAAAAATGTAGTCATATGTTGTACCTTGATTATTTGAATTTAGTAGACGATGTTTAAATATTTTACTATTTTTTTAAACAAAGTGGTTGTTTTTCCTTGCATAATGTTAAGTACATAGACACGTGATTTCTTCTTTAAGCTGACAGGCAATATAGTAATTTGAAAAGGGTAGACAATGGAGTCGTGCTTTTTTAATGGAAAACAAAGTGTAAAACAATGATACTATCTTATCGTTTTAATTAATAATTATTTGATGAAAATTTGTACATACAGTTTTTATTTTCATATATGGATTAATTACAATGTATGTTTCTCTTTCATCCAATATAAGTTAGCTCTGTTGATAAATATTGATCTTTTGAGGACTAAACTTATACAATAGAAATAATGCCAATAATAAAATTTTAAAAGTTATGTGGTTCTAATTATATGTACAAGTATACGACTCGTAATTATTCCTACCTTATAACTTCCTGCTTTATTTCTTTATTTGGAACCAATCATGTATTAACTTGGCATCTACACTGTAGTTAAAAAAGGGCAATAGAATATTTAACAGTTATCTGATTGAAATGTACGAAAGCCGGATAGGCTCATTTTTGACAAGACAAAAAAAATATTTAACTCGTTATAACGAGATAATTATCTCGTAATAACGAGTTAGTATCTCGTTATAACGAGTTAGTATCTCGTTATAACGAGATAATTATCCCGTTATAACGAGTTAGTTATCTCGTTATAACGAGTTAGTTATCTCGTTATAACGAGTTAGTTATCTCGTTATAACGAGATAATTATCTCGTTATAACGAGTTAGTTATCTCGTTATAACGAGTTAGTTATCTCGTTATAACGAGAAAATTATCTCGTTATAACGAGTTAGTTATCTCGTTATAACGAGTTAGTATCTCGTTATAACGAGTTAGTTATCTCGTTATAACGAGATAATTATCTCGTTATAACGAGTTAGTTATCTCGTTATAACGAGATAATTATCTCGTTATAACGAGATAAAAATTGATCTAGAATTGATATATCTAAGTAAAGAATAGACCATTATTTATAGGAAATATACAGAAGCAAGTCGATCAAATTTGTTTGAAGTGTGTTTGATAAAGATTTTATGGAACAGCATACTAGTTTTTTTGTGTTATGCCTTTGATTAGTATTGTTTATTGGAAAGACCGAAGACAAATATACGGAAACTTGTGACCCCCTCATGTTGTTGTGTTATACCTTAAAATTGCAAAATAGAATTAGTGTCATCTTCAAATGGAATGTATAAAACATCAAAATTTTGTCAGCTTGTACAAGGAGATCAGAAAAAAATGATATACTCTGGCTGATTTAACTGCCCTGTTCAAGCTTTCTTGAATTTGTTAAAATTATAATAATGTTTGCATAATATTTGTCGCAATAAAAAATGCATAGAAATAATCCCATTTTTTTTAAATATTCCGAGTAAATCATGTGGATATGAAACCATTTGTTAGGCTTTAACGATCATATTTTGATAATTCCTTGCCTGTTAAAAAGGAATACCAGTTCAATTTTATCGTCTTAGAGTGGCAAAATCAAAATTCAATGTCTGACAAAAAACTAAATTCACGTTGTTTTTATCATCAACCCCTCCTTCCCCGCAATAATAAATATGATGAATATCAAGAACTAACACTGTACTTATCACTTAATAATTTATATATTTCTTCTGTTTATTAAAAGAAAGAAACATTTTAATTTACCAATTTGGCATGGAATTATAAATTACAATATGTAATTTTTGCGTTATTATCAATGTGGTAGAATTAAAAAAAACTTTTGGAGCTCTTTATTCTACGGAAGCCACAATAAAAGGTGAAGGTCAGCATTAGTAAAAACAGTTGACATGTGATCCTTTTTGGGTATAGAATGAAAGTTTAATATCTAAAGTTTACAAAAAGAGAAGCATTACTTAAGGTGTATTTCAAGCATAAATTTTGCCAAGAAATGTGTATTGTATGTTGAGACAGGATTTTTGATATTTTCACTCGTGCTTCGCACTCATGAAAATATAAAAAAAATTCCTGTCCCACTCGTGAAATAAATTCCATATCAACTATAAAACATTGAATATCCTCTATTTATTTATAAAAATTATATGCTTGTAAAGTATACATAATAAATATTGTGATGAGGAAAATAATTAACGACATTGCTTCAATGTTGTATTAATAATATAAATGTACATATGTAGTATTAGGCCTATTCATTGATCAATCCTAAGTAAAAAGATTATAAAAGTGAACTGGCTTTGTAAACTCTGTAAACTTTTGTTTTGTTTTGTAAACTCTGGTTTGACGTTCTGACACTATGTGGTAAACATATAGGATCCGCCAAATAGACGTGAATCTCAAATAGGTCTCCGTGAATCTCTACAACTTGGACCCCTCCTCCCCCCCCCCCCCCCCGCAAAAAATATAAACAGTGAATCATGACAGAATATTAGATAAAATGTCAATATCAGCAGATCAGATTTAACGTCTTATTACTTAAAAGGATGTAATATCATTTTTGCTTCACCATTCCTCATTATCGTGGACAATATGCATAAGCTAAGTCACAAAGTTCAAAGGGGGGGGGGGGTAAACCAAGTAAAATATTTGACAAGTAAAAAGAAAAAAAATAGATTTGATATTCCAACTACGAGTATTCGCCATTATTTTCGGGAGATATTTACTCAGGTAAAAAAAATATGGAGGAAGGGGCACAAAATTACTCTTGACCGCCCCCTTTTCAAAAGTGGTGTTGTGGACATGAGCCCCTCTATTACTACGCCTATGATCTAACTGCTGATGTCTCACCATCCCCCGTCTTCAAAACATTTCTGAATCTCAGAAGTAACATATGTATAACACTGTAATCTATATATTATATGTTGCATAAACGATATGTTGCACTTATATTGTCTCTGATATTTAATTTTAGCGGTATAGAAATTGATATATGAAAGTGTATAAGTCGTCCAAAACATATCGAAATAGTGTCTTTCATCAGAAATAGTTGTCATAAATAAATTGCCAAAGTTTGAAGCAAGTATGTTTGGCAATATTATTTTAAGAAAAATATCGCGTCCTAATGCAACAATTTGAGGAGGAATTCACGAAAATGTGTAAATGTGTTCGCCTTAGAGTTGCTATGATTATTGACAGCGAGATAGTTCAAGATTAAATCATAAGTAAACCCCAGAGCAAATTAAATTTTCAACCATTTATCAATTGTTCAAGTTAAATTTGACTGATCAATAATTACTTGCTAAAAATTCAATGGCATTTAAAACTGCAGCCATTTTTATTCCTATATTGCTATAAAGTCTCAAAATAACAAGAAAACTGTCTCGTTATAACGACATAACTAACTCGTTATAACGAGATAATTATCTCGTTATAACGAGATAATTATCTCGTCATAACGAGATAACTAACTCGTTATAACGAGATAACTAACTCGTTATAACGAGATACTAACTCGTTATAACGAGATAATTATCTCGTTATAACGAGATACTAACTCGTTATAACGAGATAACTAACTCGTTATAACGAGATAACTAACTCGTTATAACGAGATACTAACTCGTTATAACGCGATAATTATCTCGTTATAACGAGATACTAACTGGTTGTAACGAGATAACTATCTCGTTATAACGAGTTAATTATTTTTTTATCTTGTCAAAAATGAGCCTATCCGGCTTTCGTAGAAATGCGTAAATGTCTGGTTATACTAACTCGTTATAACGAGATAACTAACTCGTTATAACGAGATACTAACTCGTTATAACGCGATAATTATCTCGTTATAACGAGATACTAACTCGTTATAACGAGATAACTAACTCGTTATAACGAGATAACTAACTCGTTATAACGAGATACTAACTCGTTATAACGAGATAACTATCTCGTTATAACGAGTTAATTATTTTTTTATCTTGTCAAAAATGAGCCTATCCGGCTTTCGTAGAAATGCGTAAATGTCTTATTAGAATTTTTTTGGACATATGCTGCAAATACAAGACGTGAATAATGGTGATACCGTTAGGACTGGTTTTAATTGTTCTATTCCACGGAACTAATGGTAAGAGAATTGATAACACATCTATCATAAGTCCAAGTTTTTCATACAGCTCATGTCAAAGAAATGGACAATGATTTTGTTCATACATGCATGTTTTCTATCATGAACGTGGTTTGTGGAGTTGACTTCTTTTTTCCCCTTGAAAATCTCAAGTTTGATACATGACTGTTTATAAACATTTTAAAATAACTGATTCATCGCACAAAAAAAGAATACGTCGAATATTTGTGTAGTTTCAATTTCGCAAATTGAAAATGAAAGACAAACTTTTATGTACACTTACATATGTTATTAAATTCAAACGTTTACTTCTTTGTGTTTGCTAAATTTCAGGCTACCACAACGACCCTGAACCCTGTACATCAGCCAATACGTCTGTGATAGTAATCAATGAAGAAGTCTCCTGTGTAAGACCTCATATAATCTCCAATATCTCCAGTGTTTGGATTCGACCCCAGCTCCCAGATGGACGACCACTTGTACCTTCTGACGAATGTACCTGTGAACTTTCATGTCCCTTGTTACTAAACGGTTAGTTTCATTTTTAATTGTAAAAAAATGATGTTATTTTTCAAAAACAATTAAATCTTAATCTAATTTGATTTTTAGACACACTACCAACGAATGGGACAGAGAGGATAAGGATGCATTCCTGTTTTGGAAGTTGGTCCTTGGGGATCAGGAGATGTAACGGGTTCTTCGTGTTCTATTTGGATTCTACGACTTATTTGTATTCGGTGTTGGGTGAAACGACATGTCTAGGTAAAACAAAATGTTTTTGACTTCTTTTTCACCTTTAAGGACAATGGATACTCAAAATAATATGTCTTTGAATTTTAAAACAGCTTGTACAGGCTTTATTCTTGCTAAGAGCATCAGATTATTCTAATGATTTCCTAATACAAAGTATCAAAACAATGTTCCGGTATATCATAAATCATGGAATACAGGAATATTTAGAAAATCTATAAGGTCATTTTTGGGAGAATTTAATATTTTTCCCAATGTTTTTGCGTTGAATTTCAATGTATTTACAAATATGAAAACAAATTTTTGGGAGAATACAAAAAAAAAAATGGAAAATTGTCATAGTTCTAAAATCTAATCAACGTACTGATAATGTGAGGCTATACGCATACATATTTACTTAATAACTCTTTATTAAAATCACAATTTAATAACCAAAAAGAATAAAACTGATTGCAAAAGCAGATTTTGGCTTTGATAAATAAATAAGCTCTTTTGTAAAACAAGGACCGGTCTGACAGGTAGAAATTCATTGCATAAAAAGTATTAAAACTCATGGTGGTATTAAATTTTGAAACTGAGTTATTCATTACAACTGTACGAATATTTGAAATTATTACAGTGTGTTTAGTAAAGGATGTATTTTTTGAAATTTAACTTTGTCGAAAATTATCTATAATATTTACCAAAGATGTTAAATTGTCATTGAGATTAATAATTTTCATGTTAACTTGAAAATTACTACCCTAACCCTCCTATTTGATCAGTCAGAGATTATGAAGCAATGATTGCTAGACATCATGAACATATTTGAAATTACAATTACATGTAGAACCGTGCATTTCCAAGTCTATGTCTAAATACATGAATGGAGCGGATATTTTCCTTATCCCAAACATCTGCATATGGGTGTTTGAGCAAACATGAGAAATATTGAACAGATGATTTATTATTTTCTATATAAATTATAAATGTCATCTTTCGTTTCTGAGCTATTGCAATTTTTTGAGCTACTTTGGATTTTCTTTCATTCAAAAGCAATAACAAAGAGTAGCGTACGTTTTGATTGAAAATTACCGATCTCCCCTTATAATGAGAGAATGCTTACCAGTTTTGGAAATTAATTTGTCACCAATTTATATGTATATCCGTTTCAAAACATTCGAACCTTTGCAACTTTCATTTGTAGTTGTCATTGATCCGTTTGTCGTAATCTTTATCCAAGGTTATTTCCCACTTACCACAAGTACGATATAAATAATTTGGGAATATTCGAGCCATAACTTTAAGGTCACCTGAGTCACTCAGGTGACATATTGCTATCTGTTTTCGTCTGTTCTCATGCTTCATTCGTCGTGCATTAACATTTGAACATTTTTAGTTTGTTCTCTGGAACCACTGAACCAATTTCAGTTAATAAATTTGGCATATGGCATCTATGGATAAAGGGGAACAAAAGAATTGTGAATTTCATGGTTCCTGTCCTCCTTGGGCCGGAGGGATTGGGCTTAAACCATGCAAAGAGCCAGGTACATTAGTAGTGCAATTCGGCCCTTCTTTGAAAATTAAAAATAATCATAAAGAAATGACTTGAGAATGTACACTTTATAAATATATTAACAATTCTTATCTATCTTTTATAGTTTAGTTGCAATAACTCTCTGAAGATGGAATGTATTTTATTGCATTTAACCGCTTTGAGCACTATGACGTCATTATTGCCGTCAATTTTGAATTATATTTAAAAAAAAAAACAACTTTTATGTACCATTGTATTTTATATGTAAAAGATGATAAACTTTTTACGTACATTGCATTGTTTATTTACTTCAAAGAAAATATTGCACAAAAAGAACGTTTTAATTAATTGAAAGAATTTATGACCTCCATAGTGTCAATTCATCTGAATATCATATCTGCAGTCAAAATTGCTTGCTTAGTGCAGTCCAGTTTTCTCCACAATTTTTTCCACCGGAACGTTAAATAAAAGATAGACAATGCAAAAAGATCATTGAAATTTAATTTCATTAACAAACAAGAACATTAAAATATAACTTTCTTTAGCATTAATTTTGACCTATTTGCACTTAGGTTCAAATTATAATAAATACCAAAAAATCGCCCTTTTCGAGATTAAAAACAACAACTGAAAACAATATTAAATTATTCATGCAAAATAGAACAATGGACAGCCAAAAAATGGAAAGGAATTATATAATCAGGATTTAATGACATTACTAACAACTCAGGCACGAAGTATCGGGGGGGGGGGGGGGGGATCCCCTTTTTTTTAAACATTACCTTTTACTATTGAGAATGTTCACTGAAAGGCTATTAGCCCCCCCCCCCCCCTCCCCCACTGTTTGTTGCAGCTTAGTCAAAATCGGAGTTATGTGGTAATGTATGAAAAAATAATGATTGTGGAAGAAGTTGAGAAGTCGTCCCCCACCAGATAGGATTTTCGAGTTTGATTCTGCCCCCCCCCCCTTTTTTTTTTAAATTTAAATCGATACTATATGTCTGCAACTTAAGAAATATCTAGTAAAGATCATTAAAGATCATTGACGTACGATGACCTTTCAAATTGTTCTTTGAATCTGGACCACTGACGAAGGTGTCAACTAACGAAGAATAAATTAAAACCATCTTCCTAACTTCATCAGTGATTTTCAACAATGAAAAAAATTAACTAATCTGACTTTGATATATAATAAATAAAAACACTAATCTGACTTTTGTATTTTGCTTTTCATAACAAATAAAAACACCATTGTCCAAAGACTTTTTTAACAACCCTTGTATACAGCATTATTGACACGAATGGCACACCTTCTGGTCCAATCGACCTTCTTGGGCCTTTCCGACAAGCAGAGGGCCCGAGATGACGCAATTGATTGTATTTCTTCAAATTACGTATATTTGAATGTCAAACTTAGTTACATATTCATCATAATTGTAATTGTTTGTGTACAGAAAAAAGGTAATGGCATTTTAAATTAATTAACATGAATATGAAGTTTTAGGAAAAACAAATGAATTTTCAATTAAGAGCCAAAGAAAAAAAAAGATACAGTCTTTTGGTCACAAATGATGTTGAAGTTATAAATTGTCAACAAGTCTATATTCGTTGATGCTATTAACAAAAAATCTTTTTAGAATAAATTAGATCTACTATGCAACACGAGTCCATCTTTTATACATTGACCTCGAATGAAGATGGAACATTAAAGTTTATACCAATACTCCTCAACATTAATACACGCATCAACCAGGTTCATGTTGAATTTATTCCTCTCGTGGTTTCGGATTTAGAAACTGACTGTTGATCATTTGGGGACGAACAACACCAAAGTATAATGTGAGATCTGAGTATTTTAGTGACGTAGGATTGTTTTTGAAAGTGTGTGTAGGGGAGGGGGGGGGCAGCCTGAGAATTTTTTCTTCAACCTACCCGAAAGAAACTTGACGAGCAAAAAAAAAATGTACACACTCGAAAATGCTATTTCGTGGAGGGGGGGGGTAACTTCTTTCAGTACCAAATTTTTTATTTAACGTTACTGAAACAAAAAGATGGGGGACACTTCAATGAACATTTGCTATGGTAAAAATTATGTCTGGAAAAAACTTTGGGGGGGGGGGCAGAAAATACAATGAGAACTGAGGGTACAACCTAGAGACGTTAGGTTTTTGCCTTAAAATCCACATAAGATGTCTTTATAAAAAATCATCAACTACAATAACATTTCAATTATACCCTTTTACAACACACTTTCTAGATTTAGACGTTATAATATTATGTATACATTGTACATGTAAGTATGTTTTGCTTGTTCTTGAATGTCGTTGCCTGGAATAAAAACGATTTCAAGTAAAAAAGGTGGTCGCGAATTTTGAACAACTGAATTATTAAATTAATTCTTTTTATCATTTAAATTCTCTACAAAGTAAGCATGCATCCTAATGTTATTCATTTTCTCAGAATATTATTGAAACACCAAGCTAATTCCATTCTCCTCATGTCAAGATCTGTAAAGCAGACGACTGATAGTATCAGAATTTTACAAAATTCACTGTGGCCGCAGCCCACGACCAGAACAAGACCTGAATAAATCAACCCCTTTTATGTTAAAGTATTTCTGGTTAAAATATTTTAGTGGTCGATGCTTGCAGCCACATCGAATTTTCCCAAAAACCGAGTGAAAGTGAAGAAAATTGCTTGTTTTCCGGATACGGCATAGGTTTGGATACTACATAACAGCACACGAAGCAAACTCCATACAGTGTCAATTCTCCGGGACTACTTTCCCTACGAATAATGTGAATATGGAGTTGTAGCGTAACGTAATACTGAGCTGTCTGGAACTTGCACACGAAGCTTGGATCCGCCCAAATAATTACATATACGAAGACTTTGGTTCATAAACTTTATAAATATACATGGATAGTTGGGATACACAAACAAATTTTTTTATGTATTTTGCAGGGCCTGCTGACATTAGCTAACGTACCTGGCTCTTGATGTAATCTTTAAAAATCTTCTTTACTCCGTGACATCAAGCAGTAAAACTGGGTCTATTGATTATAAAGTGAAAAAGCACTATTCCTTTGAAATCAAAATGCATTAATACTTTGAAAATCTTCTCCTCCTCCTCTCGTGGGCAACTAAGAGACAGAGTACAAAGCAGGGGTATTTTTCAAGATTTTTGAAATTCTGAAATGGGTCTTTTTTATGCGGGGCAGGGCTTTATTGTTCTTGTAATGAAATTTGTACTCTATTGACAGAAGATATTCCCCTTTGTTGTTTTCCTATGATAATTAATCGCTGTATATAATGTAACTGACAGGTGAATTAAATGAAAGAATTGGACAAGAATTTTTAATGTGTGATACAAAACTTATTTTCATACTTTTCAATGGTCAGGTGTACTTGTAAATAATAGAAAAATAAAAATGAGTGAAAAATACTTTATCTTTATAAATGAAATGTTCTTTGAAGACAAAGAGAGGCTAGGTATATTGTTTTGTTTAAGTCTGTATGGTGATACTGACAAATGGGAGTGCATTAGCACTGGCAAGTACAGTAAATAGATCTGCTTAATATGACTTCTTCCTGAGTACTAGACTATTTTGTTGATCCCTAATCATTTTATTTCTATTGCGTTTGGGCAATATATCTTAATCTATCAGTTTTTGTTCTATTTTATACTTCGAGGGATCCTTTACAGTATTCCATTATACTCAGGTGACCGTTAAGGCTCTCGGGCCTCTTGTTGAAATGTTCTCACACTGAATCAGCAGGTGCTTATAACCAAGTATTTGTCAAAACCCTATCTCTTAGCTATTAATATATTGTAAGGATCAAGGTCCTACATGCTAGGGATATTTAGCAACGGTAAGAGTTTTTTGTGTAAATAAATACATTTAATTTTTTTTTCACACGAAATAGAGCAAGACCATGGGATAAAGGCACCTCATGATAATATGAGCTACAAAATAAAATAAAAACAAACAATAAGCCATGTGTGCACTTTTATGACTATTACATGTATTATCTATGAAAATAATTAAATACATGATTGTACATTTATGACAATTACCTCTTAAAGGTAGAAAAGTGAGAATGTGTGCATGTCATATAGTAAGACTCCAAGACCCCATCTCCCAAAAATGACTTTCTCGCTATTTTGCTCAAAAGGAAAGGGATGGCAAATATACAGTGACTTGTTCCCTCAATAAATCTTACATGGAATATATAGAGAATTTCTTTAAGCCATAGTAGAAATAATGGAGACTGGTTTATACAGAAGTTCTATATCCTCTATACATTTAATCATATCAGCAAGTTTTACTTTATATGCTTTATTTGTATGTTAATGTAACATTACTTTAATCCTTAAAATAAAAATTAAATCATATGAAGTAAAAATGATTTTTGTTCACTGAATTAACGATAAATAACAAAGATTGCAAAACAATGTTATTTTAATGTTGATTAATTAACAAAACATTCTTTAAAACGTTCGTATATCAAAAGTCATATATCCTTGCTCACCTAACAATGTGATGCATGTTTAAAACAACTACATATTATTGAAAGTATTTCATCGAACGCTATGAACCGTCACGGTAGAGAGCTCGCTCCGTGATAGGAAGGTCGTGTGTTCGAATCACGGCCGCGACTGACCTAAGTCGATAAAAAAAAAAATACGTAGAAACTGTTCCTTCGCCAAGCGCTCGGCACTTTGTGAAAGTTGCGGGTCTTTCGGATGAGACCTTAAAAACCGAGGCCCCGTGACTGTTAAGAACCCTCACTTGACAATGGCCCTGAGTGCCAAGTAAAGGTCTAAAATTTGAAGCCCTTCACAGGTATATTGTGACTTCTCTATATGAGTGAAAAATTCAGGACGTAAAACAACAACATTCAATAAATCAATTAATAGAACGTTATGAATATGAATGTTTTTATTATAAATGCATGTAACAATTCACATCTGATACTCTTATGGATGTACAGTACAAATCAATGAGATGTTCAGGATTTCTTCCCTCATTTTTAAGGGAATATCCAATATGCTAACCTCTAAGTTAATTCATTCGAAAGGTCATAATCCTTTCAAACTGAGAGGACTTAAATATTCTATCTGAGTTCAGTATCTTTGTAACTCACTCTTTTTTTTATAAATCAGTACAAAATAAATATTACCACTCATCATCTTTCAAATTTTTCAGATAAACTATTATCTTTCAAAATATTTCAAATATAACTCATTATCTTTCAAAATTCACAGAATTCAGAAATATTCAAAATATTAGTTTTGGTTAAATGAAATTTTCTTTTTTGTCCCTGGAGTTTAAAAGTAAAGAAAAGCTAGTATAGTAACAAAGAATGCGATAAAAAGGCCTAGACTATTCAAATCAAGATGAATTTGCTTCTATGTGACTTGGATCTTTCGCTCACTTCCTCTGCTTATAAAGTTACCATGTGAATGTATGTTTATCTTTGATAAATGTATGCCTTAATGAAATTTTACTATGTCAATTATGGTGTTCATGTACATGTATTACTAGTAATTTAAAATTTACAGTGTAGCAATAATTTGCATAATTTACCACCTATAAAAGCAAATACATGTATATAAACTTTTTAAAAATTTTGGTAAACACTTGATTTTTTACCGACGCCCAGTAATTACGCACAATTTAAAGTGAAACTTCAAAGCGAATTTTTACATCATTGCATTTTTACAATATTTTACTGCAATATTTTAGTTTATATATCTCTATAGCTCCGTATCAAGGATCATGCAAGAAATCAGGAGATCTTGATGCCACAGGTGAGTTTTGGGTCAGACTTGTACATAAGCTCACAAAACATGTTGTAATAAAATGATATAGACGTATTTATTAAGCTCAAAACATATGTATTCAATCAAAAACATTTATTCCTGTAGTTTTGAAACATTACAAACAATCTTCATTTGAGTAATTATAGCAAAGTCACAAAATAAATTTATTCTTTCATCGACAAACCAAACATATTTATGTTTGTTTAAATACAAGGTACTGTTTGCAATGTAAATATCGGGGGGGGGGGGGGGGAAATTGGTTCAACAAATAATTCTGAGTGTGAAAGTAGAGTACAGTGTATATTCATTAAAAACGAAGACACCCTAAATGTGTGTCCCGAGGTGGGGAGTTTTAACGAGGAAACAGAGGATAAGACATCAATGGAGGCGGTCTTTAAATGTCAATTCGCACCAATTCCTGGAAACGTTGTGTACGACGTCCAGTGGTATATTGACGGAACGCTCCTCGATAACGCCAAATTCACCGGGGTCAGTTACAGTAACATTAATGATACAGCCCTACGGACAAGGCATTGGGTGAAGAACTTCACTATGAGTTTTCAGGTACAAATAATCGAAAAAATGCATGTAGCTTGTATGTGTTATCATGTGCTCTCAATATGTAATACTGATGAAAAATAAAAAAAAAAAGATTAATGAATATTATTTGCAGTTATCCTGCGCTGTAAAAGCTAACAATGTAACGACTGGAATACAGGGAGATTTTACTGAAAGTTATCCATATTTTGCGGGCATTAAGGTAGAGTAGCAATTAATCGTGTTGCATTTACTGTAATAATTCACTAGAAATATTATGCATATATGTTGAAAAACAATTGATTTACATAAAAATGTTCAATTTTACAGTCAAATCAGCTCCAGTATTTAGTATATGAGGGGGAGACAATTCAGATAAGTCTGGAGGCTACAGTGCCATTCAGTTGCCCATCTACTCTCAGTGACGCAATGAAAGCCTCCCATTGTAGGTTCCAGTTCTATATCTGGACCCCAGGGGAGGGGCAGTGTGTGAATGGTCTGATTAGCAATGGAGTGGCCTTCAAGGATAACCCTTGTGGAATTTCATTTGGTTATAAAGACAAAACGGCATCTATCAGTGTCACTGGTTATATTGACGGAATGGTCAATTTCAGGGAGAGAAAATCTACCTTGAGAATTGGTTCCACCAGAAATCCAATGGATTCCTCTGGAATATGGAATGGAGTAAAGATTCCGGATATTACAGTTGGTTTTATTTATCTTTTCTTTACATATTTTCTGTATCTTTACTTTTTTACAGAATTCGCATTTCCCACTTTGCGCTTCCACTGTTACTGTCCACTACTTTTTGAGTACCTTTTATTGCATAAGTTCTCCACATTTCACCTCAATTCTCATTTGGTTACAAGGATCATGTTACAGTATTTTTTTTTTTTGATTGATTTGCTTTAAAGCTCAGTCAGATTTCCCGGCCGGTGGCCTTAGACCGGTGGTAATCGGTGGTGTGAGCGATGCCCCAACATCGGTCCTTAACACATCTGTCACAGCAACAGGCACCGTAGGGAGGCCGTGCATACCCTATGGCGAGTGACTCCAGAGCGAAAAAATTTTGACCGGCTTGGCACCGATTACAGACCCGAACATCGGACAGTCTTCACCGATCATCCTACAATGCTCGGCCGGTGACCGGAGGGTTAATCGGATAGCGTACGGTTATTGCCGGCCATCTTACAGACATTGTAGGATGTCCGGGTGATGGTCGACCGAAGTAACTTGAACTTCCGTGGACGATGCCGATTCTTTCGGACAAGTAGTATAAAATGACCACCCTTCCTAGCATGGCCATTCAACCACAATGGCTTTGGCTCCGAAACATCTGAGATTGGCCATGCTGCAGCAACAACTCGCACAAGCCCGGCTTCAACACGATGTCATCTTAGTAGCGTTGTTAGAAGAAGCAGAAAGAGAGCGACAAAGAGCCCCAGGACGAAGAAGAAGGTGGTGGGTCCGAGACTGGATCTTGAAAAGAGCCCTGTTTGGACAGTACGAAACTCTTATGAGGGAGCTTGAAGCGGAGCATTCGTCAGACTTCAAGTCTTTTCCCCGCATGGAACCGGAGATGTTCCAAGAGCGTCTGGCATGAATGGAGCCACTCATCGCCAAGAAGATAAACGTAAGTTTACCTGAAATTCTGGTGAATTTACTTCAAATTTTGCAAAAACATATGTTCCAAATTTATTTTCTACTGAGAGGTTTTAATGGTATATTTCCTCCTTTTTGTGTTTCAGGCAGAGGGCTCGCTTGGAACCTGGTCTCAATTTGGTGATCACGCTCCGCTTCCTGGACACTGGCGCCAGTTACCACGACCTGTCCTTCGAGTTTCGAGTCCCCCACAACACCATTGTTTGTGGCGGAGGTCTGCAACGCCACCGTCGAAGAGTACCAGGCTGAGGTGTGAGAGTGGCGGGAAGTGCACAACAGTTCCAGAACAAGTGGAACTTTCCTCATTGCTGCAGGGCCTTGGACACATCGCCATTCAGAAGCCGTCAAAGAGCGGCACACTGTACTACGACTTCAAGGGGTTCTTCTCCATGGTGATGCTTGCGCTTGTGCACGCTGACTACAATTTCCTCCGGGTCGATGTGGGAGCCAAATGTGCATCATCAGACGCTGTAATCTTCAATCGCTCAGGGCTGGAACCCTCACTACGCTAGGGCACTCTCGGTCTCCCCCCGCCGGACCCGCTGCCCAACGACGACCAAAACACTCCATACTTCATTGTTGGGGATGACACTTTCCCTTTTTGCACATACCCGATGAAGCCGTATTCGCACGCTACCTGTCAAGGCAGGAGAGGGCCAGCAACTACAGTTTTTCCCGAGGGTGCCGCATCGTGGAGAACGCACGTGGGATCCTGGCCACCCAATTTAGATGCCTGCTGACCACCATGAGACTGAGGCCGGCGAACGTTATGCGTGTGGCCAAAGCATGCCTGACCCTCCACCACATAATGAGGATACGCTATCCAGGGATCCAGAATGTGGACTTCGACCGCGAGGACGACCAGAGTCAACTCCTCCCAGGGGCTTGGGGAGACAACGCTGTCATGCAAGACGTGCAGGCAGCATGCGGCGGACCAAGGACCACTGCGGCTGGCAAGGATCTGAAGAATAACTTTAATAGCCCTGCAGGAAGTGTCTCCTGGAAGGATTTGTCATAGACAATTGACTTTTATATTACATCCATGTTTGTGATAGACAATTGACTCTTTCGTATCTTTGCCTTCTCACGTGTGTATAAATATGTTGTTTTTAAGATTTGATGAAGATTTTTTTACATTGAAATATAAAAGAGTTGTTTAATAAATATAAAACATTTCCTTTGTATTTTTTATGTAAGAACACTAATAAAATGTATAGATCTCAGAAAAAAATAGTATGGTTGAAATAATGCCCGTTCACTTAAAACTAGTCAAAAACCTCAGAGTGTTTATTATTTCCAGTCATTGGACTTTTAACAAGAAGAGGCATTGTAAAAATATCAGGAAAAGTCTATTTTTACTATGGTTTTTACTATTGGTATCTTTTTCTTTAGTCTCTTGACCTTTAAATTATGTGATCTACTATCAATAATAATTTGACCATTCAATTATTTGACCTGTACCATTTGACCTTGAAATGATTTAATTTCTTTCAAGTTACCTTACTTTTATCAACATTAATTTTTTTTTCGTTTTTTTTTCTTTTCACTCAATTTCATTAAGAATTATAGTCAAGAAAGACCATGGATGCTTTATTACAGCATAAGACAATTGATGTGAAGCCGTACTTATCTATTTCTTGTAATATGTGCTTAATATATGCCTTCTCTGTGACTGACGTAGATAAGGGGATTCATCTATGTTTCCGAATGTGGTGACTGTTTCTCCGGTTGTCGGATCCCTTGTCACTCGCCTTGTCATTGCCCTTGTCACTCCCCTCGGGTTCCTTACCTTTGTGCAGTCTTGGCATTGTTGTAGTCTACTGAATGAATGTTGTACATGCGAAAAATGACGTGCTTATAAAGGCCCAGCGATGCATCGATAATCATAGTCCGATGTTCGAGCAGTAATCGGCTGATATATATTACATCGCTCATACATTGGTGAACATCGTTCGTACATCGGTCGACTATGGGCCAATGTTTGGTCGAACATTGACCAATAATCGGCCGATGTCTGTTGCCCACCACTCACCCCCGATGACCTCAGATTCAACGGACACTGGACGATGCTCGGCCATACATGGGCCATTCCTTGAAAGATGTGATAATGATTGGTTGCCGATGAGGAGCGATGTGGGACATCGGTGGAGACATCGCGGATTTTTAGCTACAAATTATTTTCCCCCGATGACCCCCACCGATTCGCCCGATGGCCTCAGTCACCGTCCGATTACTATGGGTGTCGGGCCGGCAACCACGGCATATTTATCATAAAAAGCATCGGTTGCCCATCGTATACCCCATCGCTCGATAATGTGACTGATACTTTACTTGAAAATATAATGAATTTTATTCATATCCTAAAGGTTACCGTGAAAGACAAAGACTTTTTGGTATCGGGTAAGTTATGTGCTTCCTACACGGATCCTCATCAAAGAACGTTCGACGGGATGTACTTCTCCAACCAAAGGGCTGGAGAGTTTTTGCTGTACAGACACAAAACGTTGCCTTACACAGTATGTCAATTAAAATACAAAAAATAATAAATAAAAAAAAAGTATGAACATTTTACCTTTAGAGATTTCAACTGAATGGTCATTCTCTAAATATGGTCACCTCATAATTTTTTTCAGGTGCATGTTTTGTTTTCTGCATGTGTTTGGAGACGCGCCACGTGTAATTGTGGTATCGCCATAAGAAGTGGTGGGAGCCTCCTTTCTGTTCGCACATGCGCCGAGGTCTCTACAACTTGGACAAAGACTTTGACAATACCAGAGGAAAAAACCGAAATATGTAATGATAATGATCTTCGCATTGAAAAATTTTGGCGCTATTACACGGTAAGAAAAAATTGAATGAAGCAATATTACTCACACAAAACGTACGTGTATATCATACTTTAAGCATTTTCTTATTTACTAATTGTTGTTTGAGAAAACGAATAAATTTAATGGTTCAATATCTTTTCTGTAGGTTACTTTTCCGAGCGGTACGGAGGTGTCGTTCTCGATTTCCTGGTGGAGTAACTGGGTGGGTAGTATTCGAATTAGAGCATCAGTTTCAGATATTGGGCAAACAGAGGGCTTGTGCGGGCTTGCCAATAATGATGTCACAGATGACTTTATTCCTAGAAATGGACAGAGTGCTACTGATGTAAATAGCTTCGCAGAATCATGGAGGTAGGACCTTAAATTATTGAGTAGTAAATCTATTTTTAAGTAGTCTGTCGACCTGTCAACTTTAAATATATACTTCACATGAGGATACAGTCTAATAATTTATTGTGCAGAATACCATGGAATTCTGCTGACGAAAGTCTATTTGTGAAAAATCCAAAACTCTTAACGGAGACCTTTTCGTAAGTAAAAATTTAATCCTATGAAACATTAAAGATGCCTATCCATTTATATATATTTTTTAGATATTTATATGTGTCTGTTTTAAATTTAGTATATCATATTACAAAGATCTATACCTCTACATGTACCACAGCTATTCCTCCGAGGGCAACAAAGACAAAGAGAATTATTGTACGTGCCCGTCTGATGAGCCACTTGATTCTTACAATCCAGACTTTGAGTCTCGGAATCAGGCCCACTGTAACCAGACGACACCAAGCTCTGTGTGTGGCAGTCAGGTTTCCATGGTGATGGATATCTCTTCATGTGCCACCACCTCACGTCGACGAAAGCGTTCAAGTGAATCAGATGATGTTGGGGACTCTACTGTACTTACCTATGCTACCGATTACGATGAAACAGCTGTCTTCAATGTAAATATGATAGTTAATTTAATTTTTGACCGTATTTTTGACAATTTATTTTCAAGTATGTTAAGTATTCTTCTGCGTTGACTATTACCTATTACTGTTTTTAGAATTATTATTACACTCTCAATAAATAGTGTTTTGATAAATCAAATCATACATTTCCTTGAACATAAATATCCAAAATAGGTAAGTGACTGGATCAATGGATGGAACGCCACGTCAGCTAGGAAATATTGCACTGACGCGTTTACCTTTGACCCCGCTGTGGAGACCTGTAATTCACTTGTCAACATCTCTTCAGAGTCTTACATAGACAGTTGTGTGGAGGATATCAAGGTATTTAATTTTTATCACTAAATAGCACATCTTCTTTTATTACACAGTCTTTTTTTAATTTTAATAGAGGTATATTTTTATTTAAATAGTTTTTAAAAAAAATTAAAAATCGACGTACCGCTGAATGCCCTACATGCAAATATATATCTTCAGGACTCCTCATTTTTTGCATCAATTAACAATTAAACCATTTTATATCCTGAGTTATTATAGAATGGTGTGCAAATATACATAATGTATTCAATGAATCAAATAGTTTCTTGTAAAAAAGCTGGTAATCATTT